TATTTAGAAGTTCCTCTTGAGGTGGAGCACCGTCCATGTTGCTGATGGTCATTCCAGCACAATTGTCTTTGCCGATGATCAGCACTGTCCATGTTGCTGATGGTCATTCCAGCACAATTGTCTTTGCCGATGATAATTTCGGCACTGTTTAGAAGTTCCTCTTGAGGGGGAGCACTGTCCATGTTGCTGATGGTCATTCCAGCACAATTGTCGTTGCCGATGATAATTCCGGCATTGTTTAGAAGTTCCTCTTGAGGGGGAGCACCGTCCATGTTGCTGATGGTCATTCCAGCACAATTGTCTTTGCCGATGATAGTTTCGGCTCTGTTTAGAAGTTCCTTTTGAGGGGGAGCACCGTCCATGTTGCTGATGGTCATTCCAGCACAATTGTCTTTGCCGATGATCATTCCGGCATCTTCCATGTTGATGTTCATTTCGACGAGCAGCTACAGCAGAGATTGTGTGGCTCAAGTCGTTTCTGACCTCTCTTGGGGTCACTCACTCAAGTCCTATTTCTTAGTTTTCTTCCCAAGTTGGGCATTTCATCCTTACATACTCCAACTTGAGGGGGAGTGTTGGAGATTATATGTAACGTATATTGTTTCAATTCTTTGTAACCGTAGGACTGTTTAGATAAAGTATTTATTTGTTTTAGTCTGTTACGTTGTTACCATTTATTGTATGTTCGCCTATTTAAAGGCTACCAATGAATGAGATAAACACACAGTTGAAATATCAAGTTTATCTGTCCCACATACATGTGAGTTTAACTTAGCCAGTTGGTGGATTGTCGACCCAATTTAACGTACACTGCCATTCAATGTTATTAAAGTCGCGTTTTATATCGTAGCAATTTTTTACCCAAAAATGATCCAAATTGGAAGTAGGATCAAGATGAAGTGGGATCAAAGGGGAAAATCGTAAAATCAGGGGAATTGTGCGATTACACTATTGCAACGTTTAAAAGAAATAAAAAAAAATCTAGTTACCGAACCCACAACCTAGAATAAATTAAAAAGTTAAAAAACTAATTTTGTAAGAGTATAAATCCTATTTGATTTCCCTTTCGCCTATGATGACCTTCTATGATTTTCCTTTCATTTGCGATGTGCAACTATTGTTTACAACATAACCTTCTCCTACATTATGTGACCGCTAGTTCTGAGTTTGGTTTTGCATCTTCTGCAACCTTTCAACCGGGTTCTTCTACCGTTTGGCTTCTAGATACTATTAGAGTGTTTTTTTTTTCATATTAGATTTTATTTGAAGGATAAAGCATGTTCTCCACTTTTATTTTATTTTTTGTTTCTTTCACTTTTTTTGGGGTGGAGATTTTTCAATAGGTTCATCACTTCGTGACTAGTGCGATTTGGGGTGGGTCCCGAGATTAAGGCTTCAAATCCCTCCCAAAAATGGTACTCAAGAGGATTAAATACATGTTGTCACCTCCACCTGCTCAGTTCTCTCGTGCCAATTGAAGTATCATTATTTGGTGTTTCTTTCACCATTTGGTTTCCGTGGATTTGGTTCACCTTATTATTTTTTAATTCTTTTGTAGTCAATCACGTGGTGTGAAAAGTAGGGGTGTCCATCAACCGATTTAGACCGTTGTAACCGAACCCAAAAACCGATAATCGAATAAACCGAAATCCGAAAAATCAAAAAGCGAAAAAAACCTGCAAATTTTAATTGGATTGGATCGGTTTTTGATAGGTTGATAAAAACCGATCCAATCCAAACCGATCCAATATATTAAGTCCTCTCTACCTACTTGGGTCTTTCCCCAATCATAGCCCAAAAATTTCTAAACCTAAGACCAATTAACCCATCAACTAAACCCAAGAAAAAACCTAGTCACATCTCATCAACAAAATTTCATCTATGTAGAACTTTTGTATTTCAAAAAAAAAAATCAACAAAGCCAATATATACAAAAAAATTTATTTGCACAATAATCATGAAACAAATTTTAGGATTTTCAAAAAACCGATCCAATCCAAACCAAAAAAAATTGGATTGGATCGGATCAGATTTGAAAAAAATCCAAACCGAATGGATGATTATATAATTAAACCGAAGAAATTGGATCGAATGATTTTTGCTTTCAAAACCGATCCGATCTAGACCGCGAACACCCCTAATGAAAAGTGCCCAATCCACATGACTAAAAATGCCCCTACTAGTATTTTAACCTAAAATGCCCCTGAAAGTGTGAAAAATCCTTTGTAATTGCAATGATTATTTGTCATTCATTTTGTTATATTTAAAAAGGTTTAATAACTCAAATTTGTAATGACGAAAAATGGGTTAGGCGCGTGTCTCCACGCGAGTAAAAATCCCTTTTCTTCTTGGGTTCTTGAAGTGAGTTTTCCAATCGAAAGTTGAGTGAGTCTTTCAAACGAAAGTTGATAGCTGATATTGGTGATAATGGAGTTGATTTTACATCTAATGTGAGTAGAAGTATCAAAATCGAAGAGCAGGGAAGAAATCTCATCGAAGCCCTTGATTTTAAAGGCAATCTCAAATTTTCAGACGAAATTGAGCCTAAGCAAAAGTCATTTGTAGAAGTAATGGGGGAGGAGAATGTTGTCTCTGGTGTCAACACTCCCTGGCTTTCGGAGATGAAAGAAGATGACGCTGAACCACTTGACCCAAACCTAGGGGAGATCTCAGAATGGGGCTTTCAAACACTAGTAAGAAAGGATGTCTCTGTGGATATCAGATGCTCTAAAGAGGTGCAACTAAGGATGAGACAACCACGGAAAAATGCTATTATAGTGAAGCTTATTAGTAAAAGAGTGGGAGTGTGTTTCATGAAAAAAAAGCTTTAGTAACTTTGGGCCAAAGCTAGAGGCATTATAGTAGCAGACCTTGGGAACAACTTCTTCTCGGTGAAGTTTACCAACCTGGAAGATCTCAACTTGGCCATCACCGATGGTCCTTGGGTCATCTTAGGGCATTACCTAGCTATCAGGAAATGGGAACCATGTTTTAATTCGGAGAAGGCCAACATTCACAAAGTGGCTACATGGGTTCGTCTACCAGGCATACCTCAGGAATTTTGATAGTATCCCTTTCTTAATCACTTAGGTTCTATTATTGGTAAGGTCTTGAAGGTAGACAAAACTATCTCTAGGGTGATAGAGCTTGATTTGCTAGGGTGTGTATCGAACTTGACTTATCTAAGCCCTTGAGAGGTGAGTACTACTTCGAAGGAGGTAGAAGGAGAGTTAAGTATGAGTGTCTCTTCCTCATCTACCTTAAGTGTGGCCGTTATGATCACAACTCAAAGTCTTATCCCAATTTTTCTAAACCCACACTAGTTAATAACCTTTCAACGAACGAGGAGCCACCTGTTACCCAACCCATTCTGCAAGGGGTTGGTCCTTGGATAGTGGTTCAAAGGAAAAAGAAACCCCAACAAGCCCATCAGAAGAAAGACCAGGCGAATGGTAGGTCTTTCGGGTCTGATATTTAGAATAAGAAAAATACGGCTTTACGAAAAAAGGATATTAGGAAAGGAAACATAAGCCATACTAGTAATTCTGGAAGGAAAGTTGTTGTCCCTAAAGATACATCAGTGGGTTAAAAAAAAATCAAGCAGTAATGTTTGCTTCAGCTGGATCATCTCTTGTGATGAAATCTTCTGCATCTGCACCTGTTATATCTCCTAAGAAAAGACTGCTCCTTAAAGTTAACAATCGTGCGGTTGAAACCCCAACCAAAAGCTCTTCTTCTGCGTCTATAGTGACAAATGTAAATTCTCCTCCTAGAAATGGAAAGAATCTTAACTCTCATGCCCCATACAGAGCTGCTGGTTTTTCCCCAACAGTAACTTCTGTTTCAAATTTGATTGATGAAATTTGTGTCAATCTGGCAAAGGAAAATATTCATGTTCTGCTTTCTTGTCCTACTCCTTCAGTCTTTAAAGTCGATACTATGCATAGGACTACTGAAGAATCTTTGATAAGAGTTGCTAGCAATCTAGTTACCATTTCCAAAGAGCCCAATCCTCCTGACTTATCAATATAAGAAAATCAGAACCTGCCAGAAGACCAAGCAGGAATGGAAGTTGATCCATTCACCAACATTTTCCTTCCCCTACCTATATATGGGGAAGAGAACAACTTTCAAGCTGCTGGAGATAGTAATCCTAAATTTGTTGAGACTGAACTAATGGGAATAAGTAGCAGGAGGTCTTTAATCCTGCAACAATCCAATACTTCCTTAAGAATTTGTTAACTTGGAATTGTAGAGGTGTTGCGAAGAAGCAATTCAAAAGTACCTTTTTTCAGATTTCGCAAGAAATACAAAGTTGATGTGGCTGCCATCTTGGAGCTTAGGGTTAGTGGTAGAAAAGCTAATAATATTATTAATAGTTTGGGTCTTTCTAATTCTATTGTTGTTGATGGGCAGGGGTTTTCTGGTGGTATTTGGGTTGTCTGGGACCCCAACATTGTAAAGATTACTCTTTTAAAAAATGATAAAAAAATTATTCATTGTTGGGTTGAGCCTTCTGACAAAACTCTCTTTTGTTGGACCGTTGTCATGCTAATCCCCATGAAGACAAGCGTAAAATTCTTTGGGAGGAACTTTTGAATCTTGGGAGAATTATGAACGATGTCTGGCTGATTTCTGGTGATTTTAATGAGATCATTTCGGCTGCTGAAAAAAGAGGTGGTAGCCTTGTTGACCTGAATGGTTGCTGCCAATTCGCTAATGTGCTAAGCTCTTGTGGGGTGCTGGATCTTGGTGGTAATGGCCCTTGGTTTACCTGGAAAGGTCCCAAATTTTTACATTTGGACCGTGTTTACAAACGCCTTAATCATATTGTAGCTAATGAATCTTGGAGAATTTCCTATGGAGAAACTGATGTCATTATTCTTCCTAGAATCTTCTCAGATCATTGTCCTATCCTTACCAGGCTTGATAAGGATGATCACCATAGGAGGGAGCGTCCTTTTATATCTTTGGCTACTTGGCAAAATGATCCCTGATTTATGTTTTTCCTAAAGTCTAATTGGAATAGCTCCTCAAGGATTGCTGAAAATCTGAACAACCTTGCTTCTCTCATTAAAAAGTGGAATAATGATGTTTTTGGTTTCACTTCCTATAGAAAAAATATAATTATTGCTCGGCTGGAGGGAATTCAGAAATGTTCTGGCAACAACAATGGTCGTTACCTAGAGAAGCTGGAACGAAGATTAAACAAAGAGCTTGAGAAAATCCTTGACCAAGAGGAACAAATTTGGCACCAAAAATCTCGAGAAGAGTGGATCAGAGATGGAGACCGCAATACCAGATTTTATCACACCAAAACTATGATTAGAAGGAGCATAAATAGGATAATGAAGCTTCAAAATGATGTTAGGCACTGGGTGAAGGAAGATGATGAGCTAATATCTTTAGCTCAGAGTTTCTTTCTTAATATCTTTAAGGAGGACAACATTGATTCCGTTTGGCACCAATTGACTTTTTCTTGGCTAGAGCTCAATGATGTTAAAAAAAAAAGGCTTAACATTAATATTTCAGATGTTGATGTTAAAGCTGCCTTCTTTCAAATGGCTGCTCTCAAAGCCCCTGGTCCTAATGGTTTCCCTACTTTGTTTTTCCACTGAAATTGGGAGCTGGTCAAAAATCAGATCAGAAATAATATGGAGTTTTACTTGAAGCATCCTGACCAAATAGAGGAAATCAATCAAACCCTTATTTCCCTTATTTCCAAGATTGAGAGGCCTCAATTTATTAAACATTTCAGGCCTATTGCTCTTTGCAACACTATTTACAAAGGGTCGAGCAAAATCTTAGCTAATAAGATTAAGCTTTTACTTGGTGATCTTATCTCCCCTAATTAGGATAGCTTTGTTCCCAAATGGCATATTCAAGGCAACATTATCATTGCCCAAGAACTAATCCATTCTATGCACAAAATGATGGGTGAGAAATGGTACTTTTCCATTAAAATTGATTTAGATAAAGCTTATGATAAGCTTAAGTGGAGTTTTATTAAGCAAGTCCTTGAAGAAGCTTGCTTCCTGTTATACAATTTCGCAATCAATTATATTAATCACACAAGTACGCAAGTGCACGTATCACAAGTAATAAAGTGGATGTGTGAGTCCAGATATCGTTCCTACAGAGATTAAGTAAAACTATAGCTCTAAGTGAAGCAATTAAGGTAACAATAATGATTTGTGATTGGCTAATGACTAATTTAACAATTAAGAAATAAAATAAACTAATATTAATGATTAACTAAGAGAATGCAGTAACATTATAAGTTTCCAAGTATTCAAAGGCGGATTGGGATCAATTTCCCCATTATTGCAATTTCACCAGAATGCAGTCACAATGCTACAGCAATCATCCATTCAGTAATCAAAACACTAACCCATGCAAGGGCTCTCACCAACAATACATGTATACTAAGTCCCACATCTCTATGACCAACATAGTTATGAATCATTAAGTTCATATTCTATGTGATTTTGTGGTGTGAATGATCTCTCTACCCATAATTAACCAATTTTACTTAGTTAAACCATAATATTTAATAACTTTCAGGATTCACCTATATCTCTATAGTGCAAATCCTAAGTACCTTGCAACTCTCTCTCTCTCGATGAATCAACAAGATTAGAGACAATTTAAGCACTTCATTAAATAACTAAAAGGACAATCATGCAACAAAGTTTAGGCAAATTGATTACATCACAATAAGGGTACTCTATCACCCAATCCTAACAATTTAGCTCATACTTGGGTGGAAAGAAACAACAAAGAAAGAATAAGATTCCATAAATCTAATATAAGAAAAACAGGGACGTTGTTGTAGCTCTGCTCTCGCAGCAACCATGAGCTCCACCACAATCAACCTTGCCTCAGCCGTCGGAATAGTGCAGAAAGTCATTGGGTTCAATGATCTCTCTATTGAGCCCTAGCTCCTTCCTTTGGTTAGCCGGATCTCTCTCAACGAACCCTCAAATTTCCTCTAAGTGTTTTCCCCACTTTCTCTCTCTAACAACACTCAAATTTTCCTTCTAATGCGTTTCCAAAACCTTCCCAGTCTGCTTCATGTGTGCAGGTTTCCTCTCTTTATAGATTTTGATGCTTTGGGCTTCAATCAACTCTTCAAATCCATTGCAAATCACATTCGAATCTGCCTTATGATTGATTGAAGATATAGCTCTGTTTTGCTGCAACGCTGATCCAGGGACAGAGCATAATGCTACTGCATATCTTCTCCAAATCTTTCCAAATATATAATTCAAATTTGAATTGGATTTGTGAACACTGATTTGTTAGAGATTGGATTAGGATTTCTTGAAGATCTATGAGTGAGTATTCAGATCAAGATCTCTGTTTGCGCGCTCAGCAACTTCCCTCCATTAAGTTGGGCTTGGGTCCATAGCTTGCTGGTGATAATGTCAACCAAACATGCTACTGATCTCATCTTCAATGCTACAACACTGCTTTTTGATGCTACAACACTGACCTGCAATAAAATAGCAAATGTAATAAATAGTTCTAACATTCAAATTATCTACAAATATCCACACTTAACATATTTCTCATTCAAATCATGAAAATATAGAATTCATGCATTAATAATATAAAACCAAGAGTACATTCATGGCACCAAAATATCACAAATAAGCCTAAAAATAACTCTCCACTAGAGAGTTATCACTCCCTAGAAGCATGGTTGAGGCCATTATGGGTTGTGCGACTAGCCCCTACATGGAAGTATTTTGGAATGGCACTAAAACTCTAGGTTTCAAACCCCAAAGAGGCATAAGACAAGGGGATCCCATCTCTCCTTATCTTTTTGTTCTCTACATGGAAAAATTATCTCATTTAATCATGGATGAAGTTCATAAGAAGAGCTGGTGCCCGATTAAAATTGGTAGGAAAGGCCCCTTGATTTCCATCGCATGTTTGCGGATGACATTATCTTGTTTGCAGAAGCTTCTATGAGTCACCTAAATTCCATTATTCATTGCCTTGATAACTTCTCCAAAATGTCCAGTCAATGTGTGAGTATTGAAAAATCTTGTATCTACTTTTCAAAGAATGTCCTTGCTGACCTAACTGCTGAAATCTCTGATATTAGTGGTTTCAAGAAAGTTAATAACCTTGGTCGCTACTTAGGCTCTTTGATGAAACATGGCAGAACAAAAAGAGACCATTATGCTGAAGTTATCAATAGAGTTCAAAAAAAAGACTCAAGGCTGGAAATCAAGCTACCTCTCTCTGGCTGGTAGAATTACTCTAGCGAAGAGTATTATATATGCCATTCGTAGCTTTCACATGCAAAATAATGTCCTCCCAGCCCATGTCTTTCAGAATAATGAGAAGCTCCAACATAATTTCATTTGGGGGTGATACATACACTGCTCATAAAGCCTATTTTGTTGCTTGGGATAAACTTTGCCTTCCAAAAAATTATGGGGACTTGGCGATCATTAACTTGAGAGGGCAAAATGAGGCTTTTATGCAAAAAAATTGCTTGGAATTTTATCAATAATCAGCAAAGCCTTTGGGCCCAAGTCCTTTATGGAAAATATGTGAGGAATTGGGATCCTAGGCGGAATATTTCAGCGAAAAATAGCGATTCAACCTTGTGGAATAATCTTTGTAAGGCATGTCATAACATGTATCCTCATCTTGAATGAGATATAGGAAATGGTAGCTCTGTTCTCTTTTGGACAGATACTTGGGGTGATTTTAATAATAATCTGGTTGAGACTGCTATAATAAGGCCCCCCTTGATTCTGACTTGAATATGAAAGTTTGTGAATTTAGTGAACTATGTGACTGGTGACTGGAATTGGCAGTACCTTTCCCAATTCCTTGACCATGAGACCATTCAGAGATTGAAAGCTATTATTCCCCCCTTCCCTTTGATAGCCCTACTTGTCTGAAGTAGAAAAATCCAAGCCCAGGTCTGTCCATTGTCAAAAATGCTACTGCAACACCATGGTTTTTCTTCAGGTGGAGATAGATTTTGAAACTCTCTTTGGAATTGGAAGGGGCCTTATAGAGTTACAGTTTTCATGTGGATGGCTACTCTTAATAAACTCCCTGTTCGTGATAGAACCTGTCACTAGAGTGGTGGCCAGAAATCCTGCCCTTCTTGCCTCAATCATTCTGAAGCTATTATACATGTTCTTCGTGATTGTGGCTATGCTAAATCTGTTTGGCTGAACTAGTTTGTTCGAGTTGTGCCTTTAAACCTTTTTACTCTTGATGGGGAAAACTGGTTCAGACACAATATTTCCACGTCTTTTCATATTAGCAGGTGGGCTAAGTGGAATGATGTTTTTCTTGTTACTTGTTGGTATCTTTGGTTGTAGAGAAACTTTTTTATTCATGATAGCTGTTTCTCCAAACCCATAGACCCTTTAGCTATTATTCTTCTCTTCTTACAGGGTATGGAAATAATTGGTAGTTGTCTACATAATACTGTTTTCTCTCTTGACTCTAATATGAACAGGGAAATAGTTTCCTTTTCTCAACATATGGATGCCTTCTTATATGTAGATGGAGCAACTTGTGTTTCTGGTTCTAAAAGTGCTTGGGGAGGTTTTATCTATGACTCTAATGGTAGCTGGTTAGCTGGATTTGCTTATAATATTGGGTATTGTTCAGCTTTAGAAGCAAAATTATGGGGTTGTATTCATGGCCTCCTTTAAGCTTGGAAGCTTGAATGCTTTAATCTGGTTGCTGCTTGTGAATCCAAAGAAGCCTTATTGTATATATCTAGTGAAATAGAGACCGGTGGCTTATCAGCTTTGGTGTGTCGTATTAAGATTTTAATGCAAAAGCTGCAATCTATCCATCTTGTTTATATGCCTCGTGACAACAATTTTTGTGCTGACCTTTTAGCAAAAACTGGCTTTGATATTGCGCCTCAAACCTGTTTATCGTTCAATGCTCCCCCTTTTAATATTTTGCTTGCTTGGAATGTCTTTATTTTCAATTTTCGTTCTGCGAGTGCTGCTTTAGAGCTGCATTAACTTTCTCTGTTGTTGCTTTGTTTGATTTTTTGGGCTTTTGGCCCTCCACCATTATAGAAAAGAAAGTTTGGATGTTTATCCTTTTAAAGGATATAGAATTATGTGATTTTAAGTGAAAGAAAGACCTAAATAATGAAAATTAGAGAGGAAAAAAATGGGTATTTTTTAATTTAAATTTTAAATAAAAAATATTAATTTATATCTTTAGGTTATTCTATTTAATATTCAATAATTTAACAAAAAAGAAGAAAAAGCTAAACTTATAATATCTATTAATTTTTCAAAGAAATATTAGATATCTTAAATATTTATATTAAACTCAATAAAATGATAATCGTATCTAATTAATACGATAGTTTTGTTTGAAGCATTGATACATCGTAGGTTTTTATGTGCATGAACATTATTTTTTATGGTAATTTAAATATTATTATATATATATATATATAAATATTATTTTTTTATAATTAAAATTAAAATAGTAAAATCTTATTATCCGTATCAATATCCCACTTTACGATATTGCTAGTAAAATCTCGATCTTGACAGACAACCTTGGTGGTTTTTGTTTCTGACACTAAAAAGACAATTTTATATGAGTTTCAATTTTTTTATGCAATAAAAAATATTATACAAAAGTTAAAGAATCACTTGTAAGAAAAAATAATTATGAGAAAATATTTTTTCATTTTATATTAACAATTTTATTAAGATAAATTTTGCACTTTTATTTATAAGAATCGCACTGGATGGATGAAAGGAGAAAGAAAGCCCCATTGAACGTAACTCAGACTTGAAAAAACTACTCGTACACTCTCTGTCTAGCACAGCCATATTTTCAAGGGTTTTGGTTTTCGTTGTTTGTTGTAGCTTGCGTACATACATAGTTGTTGCCGTTTTGTGAGCGAATTCCCATGGCCAAGTTGTCTTCATCGTCGAACTCAGAAAATTCTCGCGAGCTTCTGTGCGTGGGAACATTAGAAATCGCTACTCCAAAGCCCGTTGGGTTCCTATGCGGTTCAATCCCTGTTCCCACCGATAAATCATTCCATGCTTTCCATTCCGCTCTTCTCCCTACCCCGCAAACGTACTCTCTCTCTCTCTCTCAATAACTTTTTTTCTTGTTTATTATTATGATTATTGTTGTTGTTGTTTCGAATTCTGTGTTGTGAGAATGCTTCTTTTTCCTTTTTCTTTTTTATTGTTTATTGTTTGTTTTGGAATTATGAGTTTTGAAAAATTAAGTGGTTCTGTTCTTGTTTGTTTGATTTTTGATTTTGTTTGGGTGATGGATTGGTTGGTACAGAGTGAATGCTCCGCGTTATCGGTATCGTATGCTGCCAACTGAAACTGATCTGAATAGGCCTCCGCTTCTTGCGAATTTCCCAGAAAAGGTTCTTCCTGTTGGTGCTGTGCAGTCCAAGACAACTGGAGGAGGAGGTAACTATTCTTCATCATTGGACCAATTATATATTATTAGAGGAAGTTCAATGCTTCAAAATGTTCTTCTTGTTTGTGTTTGTGTTTTTTTTTTTTTTAATTAATTAATTTATTTTATAAATGGTCTTCAAACTGGAGTAGGAGAGTTATCACACTTGTGTCCAGCATTGTTCTTCAATCTCTTATGTTGTGTCACATTGATACAGATCCAAAGATGGAGGAATTCTATCAATAAACATTCTATTCTTTTCTCTAAATTCTGACCCAGTTCTATTTTAACTGGTATCAAAGCTCCCAAAATCCCAGGATTTTTGTAGTTCACGGGACAAGAATGGATGCAAGAGTGGAATTTTGCAGAAGGGTTTCGAGAAATTGAGGAGAGAGATTAAGGTAGAAAGACTGCTCTTAGAATATATGAAAAATATCTCATAGTATCTTAAGTATATCTTAGAATAGTTTAGGTCGCAATGGTTGTGGTGGTCATGGTTGTCCAACGTGCCAAGTGTGCTTCAAGTACTGTACGGTCATGACACCGGAACATGATATCATCATTATGATCCCACCTATGGGCCGTTCCAAGGTCTTGTTGCTAATCCATTCCATCAGACTCCTGCCATGAGTTCTGTTCTTGTGCCTGCGTCTGTCTTGGTTCCAGCTCCTTGGCAAAATACTCTCCATATGCCTTCACAGCAGCAAAATCTATTAACTGCACCTTCAGCTGGATACTTCAATTAAGTCCCTCAGATGCCTCAGGTCCCTCAGGTGGCACAACAGATGCCTCAAGTCCCTCAGGTGTCGCAGTTACCTCAAACGCATCTTGCTCCTGGTTTGTAGATTCTGGTTCAACTCACCATGTGACACCTGACCCCCAATTCCTCCTTAACAGCACTGGCTTTGATGGTTCACAACATATTGTGGTGGAGAATGGCCAATGTTTGCCTATTAAGTCCATTGGCTCTGCTTTCCTTACTTCATTCTTGTCATCCACCACTTCTGCTGTCACCTTTTCTCTGACTAATGTTCTCCTAGTCCCGGGCATAACTAAGAATTTTTCTTAGTGTAAGCCAACTCACCCATGACAATCCTGTATATTTTGAACTTTCCTCTACTATTTGTCTTTTGAAATCACAGTTTTCGCATGAGGTCCTTCTTGAAGGTGCTAGTGGTGCTGAGTGACTCTTTTCTGTTCTTGATCTAAGGGTGTTTTGATGGGCCACTAGAGCCTTTGCCAAGGAGTTATAAAAGAAGGAAATTCAGAAAGAGTCCAGCCCAACAAGGTTCAGTCCAACAAGATAATAAGGAGGTGTAAGGCCCAAAAGGCCAAAAAAATAATCAAGAGGTGTCAGGCCCAAGACAATGCATTGGTGAGGAGGGTGGGAAAGAGTTGGTCCTGGGAGAAAATAAGAAATGAAGTTAGTTAAAGAGAGAGAAGGAAGGGAGAGCTGGCAGCTTTTAAATGGAGAAGGGGATATGGTGGAGCAGGAAAAAAAGTGTGTAAGGAGGTTATAGTGGTGGGAGAGCAGCAGAATGAGGAGAGGAAAAAGTAATCAAGTAAAATGGTATAGGAAAGGGAACTCTACAAATAGGTATTCGTTTGTAGGGGGAGCTGAGGTTGGGGGTTCATTTATCTTCATCTGATCTGGTGGACCTGTTCTCTTGTGGTCTTTCATTTCATTGTAATCAATGGGTCTTGTGAATAGTGGAGTCTAGTGGTTACTTCTTCATTACTGTCTTTAGAATCTGTATTTCCTTGTCACTGTGTGATAAGCTGGAGTCAAAGAACCTTAGTATTGAAGTTTACTAGTGTATTTCGTATCGGTATATTCGGACATGTTGAGACTGTAATTGATTTCAATTGTTACTGAGAATCGAATACAATGCATTTGCTGTTTGCTTAATTAGTAGCTTCTGATTAATTGGCTGTTATTGGTTTTCCTCTGGATTGTGGGTGCTGAACTAGCACAGCGTTAGCACAGGTGCCATCATGTTTTCATTTCAGCCTCACTCCGGTGTTTTTCTGCTGGTGTTTCAAGTCCTACTTTTCTATCTGCATTTTCTAGAATTTCTTGTACAAATCCATCTATTGGAATACCTACTGTTGATCGCTCATTTGTTCACACCTTACCCATTGTGGTTCCCCTTCCTACATTCTATGGCATTGTAGGTTAGGGTACGCACACCCACAAATTGTAAAAACTGTTTTCAAATTTTGTAATCTTCCTTTTGCTATGATGAATAATACTGTAATAGATGTATTACTGCTTTTTGTATGGGAAAATCTCATCGTTTTCCATATTCCTCTACTTCAGTTTACATTGAACCACTGCAACTTATATTCAGTGACTTGTGAGGCCCTACTCCACTGCTTTCATTGGGGGCTTCTCCTATTATATTATATCACCTTTGTAGATGCCTACACTACACTAGGCATACTTGGATCTACCTCCTCAAATCCAAGTCTAACTCTATTTTTCAAACATTCAAATATATGGCTTGGGATGTGAATCAAATGTGTTCAAACTGATTGGGGAGATGAGTTTAGACCATTTTCTAAACTATATCAATATTATTTCAGTCTTCCCTTCTTTTCTGGGTTCAGTTTGTATCACTCCCATGCACGTCTCATCTCCTCCATGCGTTTCAGCCTAGTCGTTTTGTCTGTTGCTCATGGCGGCTCGTCCCCATCTTTCTGCCGCCGTGAGTCCCACAGTCCATATGGTTCTGTTCTCAGACCTGGGCTCACTATCACAGTTCGACTTCGTTTGCTGTGGCTTTTGGGATATACATTTGACTCCCTTAGATCTACGTGCTCTATCTCATGTGTGAGGGCATGTGTCTTTGCCCTTTTCGAGCCACTGCTTTTTCTGCCCACTTTGGCAAGCCTTCTCCGTCCATCACTAGCCCTTATTTGCCCAGTTCACATGCCCACAGCTGGTGTTTGGCGAATCTCTCTTCCTTTCTATCTTCTCTGCTGTCTCAGATCTGTTCTGTGGTGGGATGTCTCTTGTCCAACCAAACCCACCACAGTGTTTGTCCCCCTTAACTTGGCCAATTGCTGATGTCTTGCTGTTTCTAGAGAAATGACACGCCAGTGGCTGGGTTCTGCATGTTCAGCCTTTCACGTGCAAGTAGGAGCGTCTGTTGCCCCTTTTTCAGCCATCCCTGCCTGCAATTGTCATCATGAGTTGTCTTTGGTCCGGTCTTGTCATTATTTTGGCTATTGTATGTTTTTTTCCCCCCAATGATAGTATCGCATTGAGGGGGAACAATTTAGAAGACAGTCTGCCCCGTCAAGCAGAGCTGCATAATCTTTATTTGTTCTCTGTATACTTTTCTTGCAGGGTAAACTCAATGCAAGAAGACTGCTATAGTGAAATACAGACATATTCCTACTCTGGTTTCCAGTTTGCTATAAGAGATTCTTACTTTTTGTATTTGCTGATGCTTTCTGTTTCTTTGACAACTTAAATTGTTTGTGACAGATTTTCCTTGGGAAGGCACTGCTGTTGCATCAAGTTTTACTAGAAAATGTGAGGCCCTTGCAGTGTCTGGCTTGGTTGATTATGGAGATGAGATTGATGTAATTGCTCCGGCAGACATTTTGAAGCAGATATTTAAAATGCCATATTCCAAGGCTCGACTTTCAGTTGCTGTTCATCGCATTGGTCATACTCTTGTTTTAAACACTGGGTGTGCATTTGACCTACTGCTGACTCCATTTTGTTGCCTCGCCTAACTTCCAACATATTAAATCTTTAGCTTATAATTGCTGTTGACAATTGTCTTTCTGGTCCATGATAAGTTTTTCATTTTAAAAAATTGAGTTTCCTATCTTTTGTTTCTTTGAAGCGATAAGGAACTGAATTCTGCCTTCTGATCAGAAGACAATGTTAATATTTTGAAGATAATGAGCTTATATGCCTCAACAAGAAAGGAAATATGGACAACTGAATAGAAGCATATTCTGGTTTTAGTGCATCATGTATCATCATATACATTCTAATATGTCATATATGATACTTTGAAGATGATTATTTCTCGAAAGTCATTCAGAAATTTATAGGGATTCAACATCTTAATTTTTTGTAGTTAAGGTTATTGCATTTGGTTATTAGCATTTGCTAGATAGAATCCTCTGTCATCTCTGGAGCCCACTATTGGACTAACTTCCTTTTCTTTTCTTCATTTTAGGCAACCTTCTATTTATCATACTGAAGCATTTGATTTATTTATAAATGACAAAATATTTATGAAGTGCAGGCCAGATGTTGAAGAGGGAGAAAAGTTGATCAGGAGGCATAACAATCAATCAAAATGTGCCGATCAATCTTTATTCTTAAATTTTGCTATGCATTCCGTCAGAATGGAAGCCTGTGATTGTCCACCAACTCATCATGTTCCATCAGAAGAGCAATCAAATTCTTCAGTTCTTCCTGGAGGAAAAACACCCCATATTGTGGTACAGAATGATGATGTTGTTCAAGCTGAAGAATACAATTGCTGTTCTGATTACTCACAGGTTGAGCAGGACAGCTTCTTTTGGGGAAGTAAAAAGAATAGGAGAAATAATAACCATAGTCCAGTCAAAAAGGTGTCACAAGTTGGCGAAAAACCCAGATCATCAATGCAAGAGTCTGAAAAACCAAGAAAAGTTGGTAATGATAGCTTTTTGAGGGTTTTGTTCTGGCAGTTTCATAATTTTCGCATGCTCCTGGGAAGTGACTTACTTTTATTCAGTAATGAAAAGTATGTTGCCGTGAGCTTGCATTTATGGGATGTCACTCGACAGGTGAGGAGCATTTTTCTAAAATCTGTATTTTATGTTTTGCAAATTGTTAAAAAAATTTCTCCCTATTTTGTTAGGTCACACCTTTGACATGGCTTGAAGCTTGGCTTGACAATGTCATGGCAAGTGTGCCTGAGTTGGCCATATGCTATCATCACAATGGTGTTGTCCAGGGGTATGAGCTTTTGAAAACTGATGATATTTTTCTGCTGAAAGGGATATCAGAGGATGGTACACCTGCATTTCATCCTTATGTCGTGCAGCAAAATGGTCTGTCTGTTTTGAGGTTCCTTCAGGATAATTGCAAACAGGATCCTGGGGCTTATTGGGTACTATTATTTTTTAATGCATTTAAAATATTTGATGCTTTTAAATTTATTATAATTGAATCTGAAATATATTGTATATTCAAGTATATGAGTCTGTACAAGGAGGCTCTCTATTTATAGAGACTAAAAGTCCTAATGGGATGACCTAATGGGTCAAGCCCACAATCTAGACTATTCTAATAATAAATTAATATTATTTCTAACACTCCCCCTCAAGCTGGTGCGTATATATCAAAAGCTCCCAGCTTGTTACAAATATGATCTATTCGGGGACCTCTAAGAGCTTTAGTGAATACATCCGCAAGTTGATTATTGGAATTGACAAATGCTGTCTCGATCTCCCTTGACTGGATCTTTTCTCTAACAAAATGACAGTCAATTTCTATATGCTTGGTCCTCTCATGAAAGACTGGGTTAGAGGATATATGCAAAACGGCTTGGTTGTCACAAATAAGCTTCATAGGCCTTTGTTCACAGAGATGGAGTTCCTTCAGCAATTGACTCAGCCAGATGAGCTCACAGGTTGCATTTGCCATTGCCCGATATTCTGCCTCCGCACTGGATCTGGCGACCACAGTTTGCTTCTTACTCTTCCAAGAGATCAAATTTCCTCCGAAGAGAACACAATACCCTGAGGTGGATCGTCTATCTGAAGGAGAACCTGCCCAATCAGCATCTGAATAACTAGAGATCTCTGAACTCCCTTTATTTGTATATAATAAACCTCTTCCTGGCGCCTTTTTAATATATCGGAGAATTCTAATAACTGCATCCCAATGGGAGTCACAAGGAGAATCAAGAAATTGACTTGCAACACTCACTGCGAAGGAGATATCTGGCCTTGTCACAGTAAGATAATTCAATTTTCCAACTAGTCGGCGGTAGCGACTAGGATCTGGCAGTGGCTCCCCCTGTCCTGGTAATAACTTAACATTGGGGTCCATAGGTGTATCAATGGGTTTACAACCTAACATGCCAGTCTCATCTAGGATATCCAGTGCATACTTCCTCTGACAGATGGAAATGCCCCGCCTAGACTGTGCAACTTCGATCCCCAAGAAATATCGAAGTCTGCCAAGATCTTTGGTCTGAAATTGATTGAATAAATGCTTTTTCAACTGATCAATCCCGGTCTGATCACTGCCTGTAATGATAATGTCATCAACATAGACCAGGAAATAAACGCACTGACCAGAAGAGTTATGCCGGTAAAAGACAGAATGATCGGCTTTGCTTCTGATTAATCCAAAGGATTCAACAACTGAACTAAAGCGGCTAAACCAGGCCCGAGGAGATTGCTTCAGGCCATATAAAGATTTCCGAAGTTTACATATCATTCCAGAACTCTCCCCCTGAGCAACAAAACCTGGTGGTTGCTCCATATAAACTTCCTCCTGCAAGTCACCATGTAGAAAAGCATTCTTAATATCAAGTTGGAGAAGGGGCCAGTGATGAATGGCGGCAAGGGCAAGAAACAGGCGAACAGAAGCCATCTTAGCAACAGGAGAAAAGGTATCCCCATAATCAAGACCAAAGATCTGTGTGTATCCCTTGGCCACTAAGCGAGCTTTAAGGCGATCAACAGTGCTATCAGGACCAACTTTAACTGTGAACACCCATCGACAACCAACAACAGACTTCCCGGGAGGAGCACGAACAAGATCCCAAGTGCCATTGGAGTGAAGTGCCTGCATTTCATCAAGCATCGCCGGGCGCCACCCTGGATGAGATAGTGCTTCACCTGTGGTTTTAGGGATGGAAACATAAGAGATACTAGAAACAAAAGTAAAATGTTGTGAAGAAAGTCTGTCATAACTCAAGAAAGAATAAAGGGGATGAGGATTTCGAGTGGATCGAATACCTTTCCGAAGGGCAATGGGAGGAGTCTCTGATGGAGGATCCGGAGGAGAAGAGCCGACGGGAAGGGGCGATGAGTCATCAAGAGGCAAAGTCGGAGGAGGTGCAGGCTGACGACGCTGGTATGTGAGGAGAGGACGATCTGCAGGTATGGAGGTAATTGGTTGCTCCTCTGGAATAGGGTCACCTGCAGCTGGTAAAGACAAATCAAGAAAAGGAACAGGAAGGACCTGATCAACTTGGGACACTGGAGACGGAGTAGAGTGAAAAGGCTGCTTATCAAGGAAAGTGACATCAGCAGAAACGATATAACGCTTGAGATCAGGAGAATAGCAACGATACCCTTTTTGAAAACGTGTATACCCAAGGAAAATACATTTGAAGGCCTTGGATGTCAACTTGTCTTTACCTGGAGTAAGATCATGAACAAAACAAGTACAACAAAAAATATGTAAAGGCAGAGGATAAGAAGGTGCTCCGGAAAACAAAATACTGTGGGGAACATCATTATTTAGCACAGAAGAGGGCATGCGGTTGATAAGGAAACATGAGGTGATAATAGCATCTGCCCAAAAACGGAGTGGGACGTTCATATGAATGAGAAGGGTACGTGCAGTTTCGACTAGATGTCTATTTTTACGTTCAGCGAATCCATTTTGTTGTGGAGTGTGGGGACAGGTAGTCTGGTGTATCGTCCCTTGTGTATCCAGAAATTTAGAAAATTCAAGAGACACATATTCTTTTGCATTATCACTGCGCAAGATTTGAATAGAAGCACCAAATTGAGTTTTTATTTCTGCACAAAACTTTTGATAAATTGAAAATAACTCAGAACGATTTTTCATTAAATAAACTCAAGTGCAACGGGAGAAATCATCAATAAAGGTGACAAAATACTGAAAACCCAAAACAGACGTTGTTCGACTCGGACCCCAAATATCAGAATGAACAATAGAAAAAGGAGCATCAGCTCTTTTATTGACTCTATTAGCAAAGGAGGAGCGAGTGTGTTTTCCTTGCTGACAAGAATGACAGTTTAAAGACTTAAGATTGGATAAAAAGGGAACCATATGCTGAAGCTTGGTGAGGTTTGGATGACCCAGATGGCTGTGAATTAGCTCAGGAGACTCTGTGAGAGAACAGGCTACTGGAGAAGGTGGTGCAATCAGATAGTAGAGACCTCGTGACTCATCGCCTGCTCCAATCGTCTTCCCCGTACCCGAATCCTGCATAGAAAAGGATTGTTTAGAGAAGGTAATAGTACATGAATGAGAATGAATCAACTGGCTAACAGAGATTAAATTAAAAGGAATGCCAGGTATATAATAAACAGAACTCAAAGTTAAAAGAGGAGTTGGGTTGGCTTCCCCAATTCCACGAGCAGGAGCCTTAGTGCCATCAGCAAGAGTGACAGGGGGTAGGTTATTAGAATAAGAAAGTGAAGTGAAGAGATCTTTATTACCACAAAGATGATGAGTAGCACCTGAGTCTATTATCCAGGGTCCAAGAGATGATTGATAAAAACAAGCAACATGATTACCAGTGTCTTGAGTAGGATGCTGAGAAGAAACCTTCTTGAGAAGTGCCTCATAGTCGACACTTGAAAGAGTTACTAATCCAGTTGAAGGTGGCGTAACATCAGTTTGAGCAAAGTTGGCAGTCAGTGGCTTCAAATGAGGGTACTTCCTATAGCAGCGTTCTTCAAAATGCCCAAGATTCTGGCAATAATTGCAACGAGGCCTCTGTCTGTGGCCACGTCTGCGACTGCGTCCACTGTTCCAATTGGAATCACTGGCCCGAGAAAAGAATGGAGATGGGGTAGTACCGGAGATGATGCCAGTCGTGTTTTTGGACGCATTATTTTAGCCCTCCATCACAAAATAAAAGGAGATGACCAGAAAATAGCAAAGAACTACAAGAAAGCAAGAAATCGCGCAAAAACGTTGCACAAAAGTGTCCAAACAACGGGTTTTTCACTGATATCTTTCAAACGGATGGGACCCACAACGAACGGAGACCAGATCTGGAAAGAGGGTGAGGAGGCGAGCAAGATGGTGGTGGTCCGGCCTGGAACGGTGGCCGGACGGTGGCTCACGCGCCGGAACAGTGGCTCGGCCGCCGGAGACTTCCACCGCCGCGTGGCGGCGCGTGGATGCTCCGATCAACACGCGGCTTGGACAGACAGGGTCGCCTCCTTGAGCCGCTCCTGATCGCGTGGTGGTTGGTCGGAAAAGTCGCCGGAAAAGCAGTCTGACGGCGGTGAACAGTGGCGGACGGTGGTTTTGTGGCGGTTTCCGGCGATGAACGGAGGCTGACGATCTTTTTCCTGATGATACGAGGTTGAGGACAAGAAATTTGTGACTAAATAAGGGTTAGGTGTGAAAGGATGGTTGCCGGTATGATGCACGGCAGTAAAAAGAAAGAGAAAGATATATATGCGGAAGCAGAGCCTTTAGATCGAGAGCTCTGATACCAAATTGAATCTGAAATATATTGTATATTCAAGTATATGAGTCTGTACAAGGAGACTCTCTATTTATAGAGACTAAAAGACCTAATGGGATGACCTAATGGGCCAAGCCCACAATCTAGACTATTCTAGACTATTCTAGACTATTCTAATAATAAATTAATATTATTTCTAACAATTATGTTAATTTCTTTTAACAATTTATTTCCCTTATTAGTGCTAGCAAGCCTGACATAGAGTTTTGCAGCTTTATAAAGGTGCTGGTGAAGATGATATACAACTTTTTGATCTCTCTGTTATTCCGAAAAACTGTTCATCTAACAATTGTGATGATGCTTCAAGCTCCTTGCCATCATTAATCAGTAGGGGTAGAAGTGATGCAGTGTATTCATTGGGAACTCTCCTCTACCGAATTGCTCACCGGCTTTCCCTATCAATGGTGTGGAAGAATTTAACCTATGTGGGCTGATCCTTTTTTGAATGGTTTCTAATAGCTAATCACTAATTATTGTTGTTTTTGCTGTAGGCTGCTAAAAATAGGGCTAGGTGTGTGAGATTCTTTAGAAAGTGTTTGGAATTTCTTGATGACTCGGACCATCTGGTATGCTTTTGGAATAAGATGATTGATGTATTCCCCAACCCTGTTTGCATGGGGTTTCCAAATTATCTTCTGTTGAGATGACTGCATTTCTGATACAAGTTTTCCTGAACAGGCAGTACGAGCAGTTGCACATGAACAATTTGCGAGGCTGATTTTAAATTACGATGATGAGTTGAATTTAACTTCTGAATCGCTGGCTGTAGAATGTGAAATAACAGTTACTGAAGCCAATGAGTCATCTTGGGATGCTGAAAACAGTAATTCTGAATCAGTTGCCCATGAAGTATTTTATTTACTTGCTGATGATGACAAATCAGATGAACATGGAAAAATAATTGAGCATGTAGAATCAGAAACTCCTGCAAAGATGATTTCTGAGGCACACAAGCCCGCCCCCAGGGAGATGCTAGCAGTCAGTGACACAGAATTGAGCAACCAAGGGGGGGCTGTACCAAGCTTGTCTCCTGATGTCAGCTCTTTGGTGTGTGAAGCAAGTCCAGTTTCCACACCTGTGGTTCAGACTGTTGCTGATCCAATTTCATCAAAGTTGGCTGCTGTACATCATGTTTCACAGGCCATCAAGTCTCTGAGATGGATGCGACAGCTTCAGAGCTCTGAACCAGAGATGATGGATCAATTCAATAAAAATCATGATCGGCCATCATCATCTTTTAATGTTTCTGTTTGTGCATGTGGGGATGCTGACTGTATTGAAGTTTGTGATATTAGAGAATGGCTTCCAACATCTAAGTTGGATAATAAGTTGTGGAAGCTCGTTCTTTTGCTTGGAGAATCTTATTTGGCACTTTCAGAAGCTTATATGGAGGATGGCCAACTGCGTCAAGCTTTAAAGGTTATACAATTAGCATGTTCTGTTTATGGATCAATGCCTCCACATCTTGAAGACACAAAGTTTATTTCTTCGATGGGTAGTTGCTTGTCCTTACAAAGAAAACACTTTGATATGAATGAAAATACTACATGGCCAGGTGATGTAAAAGATGAGACTGTTAGTGGCTATATTGAGAGGAAGTCTTCTACTTACCTTTTCTGGGCCAAGGCATGGGCATTAGTTGGAGATGTTTATATTGAGTTCCACAGGATTAAGGGTAAAGATGTCTGTATACAAGATCTGAGAAAACCTGCAACCAGAGAATTGAGAATGTCATCTGAGGTTGTGAAGGAAGTTAAAAGGCTGAAGAAGAAGTTGGTGCAGTTGAACCAGAACTGCAGTTCATGTTCCTTGGCAAATTGCAGTTGCCAGAGCGACAGAGCTAGCAGTGGGAACAGTGCAAGTAGTAGTAGTAGTAGTCCAGATGTGAGCTTCATGACTTATAGTAGAAAGCATAGTAAACGATTGTCTGCTAAAAATGCCAATTACTTGCCTCCAAAAGACCCAGGAGATGAATTCATTCATAACAAGGAGAACAGAAAAGATTTTGACAGCGAATATCCTGAGCACAGTAATTGTGGTGGAGATGTGCCAGATAGCCTTGAAAATAGTAGGATCGAAGTTGAATCCTCGGTGAACTCTAGAACACTTGATGGATCTTCAGAGATGGACAATTTGTGTTCGAGTGTTGTCTCTCAAACTGAATTTAATTCAAAGGAAACAGGTAAAGAAAAAAATGGTGGGATATTTGAGTACCTAGATGGACCTCTAGTTGGAGATGTAGAGCACAATTTATTAGCTGCTTTAAAATGCTACGAAGAAGCTAGAAAAGTATTGCTTAAACTTCCATCTGGTTTGTCTGAGTTACAGTCTGTGGTTAAAAAGATAGGGTGGGTTTGCAATGAATTGGGCCGAATCAGACTTGAAAATAAAGATTTGAATAAGGCTGAACTGGCATTTACAGATGCCATAGATGCATTCAGAGAAGTTTCGGATCACACCAACATAATATTGATAAACTGTAATTTGGGCCACGGCAGACGGGCTTTGGCTGAGGAGATGGTATCTAAAATTGAGAATCTTAAACTACACAATATCTTCCATAATGCATACAATCATGCATTGGAAACTGCAAAATTAGAATATAAAGAATCCCTTAGATATTATGGGGCAGCAAGGTTAGAACTAAATGCCATCAATGAGGATGCTGATTCTGTGACAAGCAGCTTGAAGAATGAGGTACATACTCAGTTTGCTCATACCTATCTGCGGCTTGGCATGCTTTTGGCAAGAGAAAATAGCACTGCAGAAGTTTATGAAATTGGATCATTGGAAGATACATGTGTAAGTCACACAAATCCCCAGAATAGAAAAGCCAGGAAAGATTGGAGAAAGCATGAGATTTCAGCTAATGAGGCCATTAGGGAAGCATTCTCAGTCTATGAGTCGCTGGGTGAACTACGCAAACAGGAGGCTGCATATGCTTGCTTCCAGTTGGCTTGCTATCAGAGAGATTGTTGTTTGAAATTTATGAATTCTGGCAATAAGAAAAGCGTTTTGTCAAAAGCTGAAAATAGCATTGTGCAACGAGTCAAGCAGTATGCATCTCTGGCAGAGAGGAACTGGCAAAAAGCCATGGACTTCTATGGCCCCAAAACACATCCGAACATGTATTTGACTATTCTCATGGAGAGATCAGCTCTTGCATTAAGCCTTTCAAGCCATTTACACTCGAATGTGGTATTTTCCTGCACTTGTTTTATGCAGATTTGATTCTGATCAATACTTTATTGAAATTTTCATTGACATGATTTAGTTCATCGTTTCTGTTTTTTGCAGTATTATGCCATCTAGTATTTTAGTATGTATATTAATAACATTTCCTTCAAAAGTAACATACTTAGGCAGGGGCAGGGTCATGTTTGTCAATGCAATATAGCCCCTGCCTCAGAAACGAAAAGATTGTAAAATTCATGAAATTGGGTTCTGTATTTCCAGCTAGATTTACATCCTTATTGAAACTTGGTTAAAATGTCTGAAAGGTGATGGATTAAGGTGATCTTAGATGTGTTTCATTGTGATATGTCTGCTGCATATTTTCTGATGTACTGTATTCGATAATTACAAATTTCTCATTTGGTATATGGAGAATCGGAGAATACATAAAATGATGAAAATTCTGAGTATTTCCTGACTTGCATCTTTTAGAATCAATTTAAGAAAAAAAGATTGTCAAAATAAATTTTCAGAATCAATTAATTGCCATAAAAAATTTTCTATGCTATCCCAAAAAAAAATAGTATAAACTATTAAAGAAGACCTTACTCTAAATAGTTAAAACATTGGTTTTTGATAGATCAATTCAGGGTATATTTCTGTCATTTGTTGATGCTTAAAGAAATTTGTTTCAGGTGCTGGAATCAGCTTTGGCTCATATGCTCGAAGGACGCCATGTTTCAGATACAAATGCTGACACTTTCAGCACTAGGTATCCTGAATTACACGCAAAATATTGGAGTCAGTTGCAGATGCTTTTGAAGAAAATGTTGGCCATGACACTTTCACCAAGTGCAAACAAATCTCCCTGTCAACCATCTTCAACATCTAGCAGATTTGGAGATGGTGGAAAGATCAGGGAACTCTACAAGATGTCCCTGAAGGGTACTGACATGGTCCAACTGGATACCATGTACAGCTTGTGGATATCATGATAGGAAATTCATCAAGACATTCTTCTCACGTTTACATCAGATCTAAGTAAATTGTTTGCCACCCCTTTCTGATTATCTTTTTGGAAGATAGATTGCTTTGTTGATATCCTCCAGCTCTTGTATATTAAGTCGAATCCATTATAAAATTCTAAAAGTTGTTCCTTTTTGTTATTATCTTGTCTTGATATTGGTTGTTGGGCTAACTCCATTTAATTTTATCAAAGAGTACTAACAGAAGTGGTCGTTCACCTGTAAATAATTTTTTTTTATGATTTTTATCCTCATCCTCTCAGGTTCATAAGCAAGCATTATAACCATGGGTCATAAGTAAATAAGTGTTAGGAACATAACCATAAATTACAAGTCATAGCCATAAATTATAAAATAAGAACGAAGTGCTAATGGACAGTCCAAAAGATAACTGAGAAATAGTATAAATCTATAACATCATCAGCACCTTGATCCTCAAACCTCTGAAGTCAATATCTCAGTCTGCATGCCAAGTCGAGCATCACAGCGTGCCTGTATGACAACTAGGCGATCATATCAAAATGAGAGAAACCGGAATTCACAGAAGCCTTCATATTGCTAAGAGTAGTTAGGAACTCGCCCAAAGCTTGAAAACACTTGAAAGTAGGAATGTGTATATCATTCAATTGTGTATTAATCTAATACAAAGAGTTACAATATATAGAGACCCTAATGGGCTTAAGTGAGAAGCCCAGAATATTTACTAATCTATTCAAATCTAATATAATCAAATCTAATATAATATTTCTAACACTTCCCCTCAAGCTGGTGCATATATATCATAAGCTCCCAGCTTGTTACATATATGATCTATTCGGGGACCTCTAAGAGCCTTGGTGAAAATATCTGCAAGTTGATAACTGGAATTGACGAATGTTGTCTCGATTTCTCCTGATTGAATCTTCTCTCTAACAAAGTGACAATCAATTTCTATATGTTTGGTCCGCTCATGAAAGACTGGATTAGACGATATATGCAATGCTGCTTGATTGTTACAAATGAGCTTCATGGGTTGCGGTTCACAGAGATGTAGTTCTTTAAGCAATTGTTTTAGCCAGATGAGCTCACAAGTTGCATTTCCCATTGCCCAATATTCTGCCTTTGCACTTGACCTTGCGACCACAGTTTGTTTCTTACTCTTCCAAGAGATCAAGTTTTCTCCAATGAGAACACAATACCCTGAGGTGGATCGTCTGTCTGAAGGAGAGCTTGTCCAGTCAGCATCTGAATAGCTAGATACTTTAGCATTCCCTTTATTTGTGTATAATAAACCTCTTCCTGGTGCTCTTTTGATATATCGAAGAATCCTGATGACTGCATCCCAATGGGAGTCACAAGGAGAGTTAAGGAATTGACTTGCCACACTAACTGCAAAAGAGATGTCTGGTCTTGTCATAGTAAGATAGTTCAACTTTCCAACTAATCGGCGATAACGACCAGGATCTGCCAATGGCTCCCCCTGTCCGGGTAACAGCTTAACATTAGGATCCATAGGTGTATCAATAGGTTTACATCCCAACATACCAGTCTCATCTGGGATATCCAGTGCATACTTTCTCTGACAAATGGAAATGCCCTGCCTAGATTGTGCCACTTCGATCCCTAAGAAATATCGAAGCCTGCCGAGATCTTTGGTCTGAAATTGATTGAATAAGTACTTCTTTAACTGATCAATCCCAACTTGATCGCTGCTAGTAATAATGATGCCATCAACATAGACTAGAAGATAGATACACTGACCAGAAGAGCTATGCCTATAGAAGAATGAATGATCGGCTTTACTTCTGGTTAAACCAAAGGATTGAACAGCAGAACTAAAACGACTAAACCAAGCTCGAGGGGACTGCTTCAGGCTATATAAAGATTTACGAAGCTTACATACCATTCCAGGATTCTCCCCCTGAGCAACAAAACCCGGAGGTTGCTCCATATAGACTTCCTCTTGCAAGTCACCATGTAAGAATGCATTCTTGATATCAAGCTGAAGAAGGGGCCATTGATGGATGGCAGCAAGTGCAAGAAATAGCGAACATATGCCATCTTGGCAATAGGAGAAAAAGTATCCCCATAGTCAAGACCAAATATCTGAGTGTATCCCTTGGCCGCCAAACGAGCTTTGAGGCGATCAACAGTTCTATAAGGACCAACTTTGACAGTGAATACCCATCGACAACCGACTACTGACTTTCCAGGAGGAGCATGAACAAGATTCCATGTGCCATTGGAGTGAAGTGCTTGCATTTCATCAATCATCGCTTGACGCCAACCCAGATGAAATAGTGCTTCACCTGTGGTTTTAGGAATGGAAACAGACGAAATACTAGAAACAAAAGTAAAATGTGGTGAGGAAAGTCTATCATAACTCAAGAAACTATAAAGTGGATGAGGGTTGCGAGTGGATCGAATACCTTTGCGAAGGGCAATGGGAGTAATCTCTGATGGAGGATCCGGAGGTGAAGAGTCGACCGGAAGAGGTGGTGAGACAGTAAGGGTCAAATCCGCTGGAGGTGCAGGCTGACGTCGCTGATAGGTAAGAAAAGGACGGTCCTCAGGGATGGAGGCAAGGGGTTGCTCCTCCGGAATAGAGTCACCTGCAACTAGTAAAGACAGATCAAGATAAGGAACAAGAAGAACATGATCAACTTGTGTTATCTGAGACGGGATAGAATGAAAAGGTTGATGATCAAGGAATGTGACATCAACTGAAACAATATAACGTTTGAGATTAGGAGAGTAGCAACGATACCCCTTTTGGAAACGAGTGTATCCAAGGAAAATACACTTGAAAGCTTTGGATGTTAACTTATCTTTTCCTGGAGTAAGATCATGAACAAAGCAGGTACATCCAAATACACGTGGAGGTAGAGGATAAGAAGGTGCTCCTAGAAATAGAACATTATGTGGAACTTCATTATTAAGTACCGAAGAGGGCATGCGATTGATGAGAAAGCAAGAGGTGATTATAGCATCTGCCTAAAAATGGAGTGGAACATTCATATGAATTAGTAGGGTACATGCAGTTTCAACCAGATGTCTATTTTTACGTTCGGCCACTCCATTTTGTTGTGGAGTGTGTGGGCAAGTGGTCTGGTGTAACGTCTCACGTTTCTCCAAAAAATTAAAAAATTCAAGGGACACATATTCTTTTGCATTATCATTGCGCAAGATTTGAATAGAAGCACCAAATTGAGTATTTATTTCAGCATAAATTTTTTGATAAATGGAAGATAATTCAGAACAATTTTTCATTAAATAAACCCAAGTACAACGAGAGAAATCATCAATAAAGGTGACAAAATACTGAAAACTTAAAACAGACATTGTTCGACTCGAACCCCAAAAGTCAGAATGAACAATAGAAAATGGAGCATCAGCTCTTTTATTGACTCGATTAGCAAAGGTAGAGTGAGTGTGCTTTCCTTGCTGACAAGAATTACAATTTAAAGACTTAAGACTGGATAAAAAAGGAACCATATGCTGAAGCTTGGAGAGGTTTGGATGACCCAGATGACTGTGGATTAGCTCAGGAGACTCTGTGAGAGAGCATGCTACTGGAGAAGGTGGTACAATCAGATAATAGAGACCTCGTGACTCAATGCCCGCTCCAATCGTCTTCCCCGTACCCGAATCCTGCATAGAAAAGGATTGTTTAGAGAAGTTAACGGTACATGAAAGAGAATGAATCAACTGACTAACGAAGATTAAATTAAAGGAATGCCAGGTATATAATAAACAGAGGTCAAAGTTAAAAAGGGAGTTGGGTTGACTTTCCCGACTCCACGAGCAGGAGCCTTAGTGCCATCAACAAGAGTAACAGAGGGTAAGTTATTAGAATAAGAAAGTGAAGTGAAAAGATCCTTATTACCACAAAGGTGATGAGTAGCACCTGCGTCTATTATCCAGGGCCTAAGAGATGATTGAGAAAGGCAAGCAACATGATTACCATTGTCTGGAGTAGGATGCTGAGAAGAAACCTTCTTGAGAAATGCCTCATAGTCGGCACTTGAAAGAGTTACTAATCCAGTAGAAGGTGGTGTAACATCAGTCTGAGCAAAGTTGGCAGTCAGTGGTTTCAAGTGAGGGTACTTCTTGTAGCAGCGTTCTTCAAAATGTCCAAGATTCTGGCAATAATTACAACGAGGCCTCTGTCTGCGGCCACCACGTCCACGCCCACGTCCGCGTCCACTGTTCCAATTAGAATCATTAAAACGAGAAAATAATGCAGTGGAATCGGTAGCTGGCACATGTGTGGAAGCTGTTGATTTATCCTTAAGATTCAGAAGGCGCTGGAAAGTGTGTGATAGGCTAGGAGTCTCAGCACTGGTTAAAATATTCTCACGAACACTTTCTAACTCTTTAGAAAGACCAGAGAGGGTTACGACCATAAAGAAGCGCTCCACCTGCTTCTTGTACGCAGAGGCACCTGCAATATGAGGTAACGTAGCTAAGAATTCTTGCATCAAAGAACGAATCTTACCAATATAAGTTACCATTCGAGACTCCGGATATTTGCGCAATTCCATTATCTGAGACTCAATTGAATAAAGCTGCTGAATGTCATTGGTGTAAAAGTTTTTAGCTTCCTCCCATACGTCATAGCAGGTCTCAAAGAAGATGAAAATGTCTATAAGTGTCGGATCAATGGACTTTCAAAGGATACTTAGCAGTTGTGCATCAATCTTTTCCCAGTCAGATGCCTGATCCTTGGGAGACTTAGTTGTGAGATGTTGACCGTATCCCTGACCAGTAAACCAGATCTTAACTGAGGTAGACCAGGTCTTGTAAGTAGCAGCTCCGGTCAGTTTAATCGTTGCAATGAAGGGGGTAGTACTGGTAATGTTTTTGGACGCACTACCTAAGCCTTCCATAGGTAGACCAGGTCTTGTAAGTAGTAGCTCCGGTCAGTTTAATCGTTGTAATGGAGGGGGTAGTACTGGTAATGTTTTTGGACGCACTACCTAAGCCTTCCATCTCAAAAAATATAAAAAGAATGACCAGATAAAAGCAAAGAACTGCAAACTCACAAGAAATCACGCAAAAAATAAATAATTAGAATGACCAAACGTACGGAACAGTGCTAGAAAATGACCAAACGTACGGA